TAACATTAACCTCTTTTGATTTTTATACCGTTTACTTGAAATTGGTAAACACGTCATCTTATTCTGGGAATACTTATGTTTTTTATAATACACATAAGGGTACTTAATCGCTTTCACTCCTTGTAGAAATATCACAATCGATTCTCATATATACGATTTCTATAATATAATATATATAATATAATTATATAATATATAAATATTATATATATTATAATATTACATAATATATATTTATTATATGTATTATATATATAAATATATATCTTTCTTCTTAAGAAACTTGCCAGTGTGTCATTCCGTTTAAATAATTTAATGATGGAATCAATAATATTTCAAAATTTCTTGAAACACATTTCTTAAGAATCTCCTCATTTTAAGAAAGTATATTATCATAATTTACAGTTTAACTTATAAGTTATATGTCCAAGTACCTTTTGCCGATTGAATATATCGTAGAGGGACAATCGTGTTTCTAACGTCAGGGCTTTTCGACCTTCTTACACAATCTTGACTTAAAACTCTGCATCCTGGGCTCAAAGTTAAACCAGTATAACCACCTCGGGGAATGCTATCACTACTTGCCACTCTTCTAACATCGTTCGTTTTCCTTTCTTCGCAGTTACTGACTACTGACATCAAATTGTCCGGTACCGAGTCCCTAAGTTTAGACGCGTACTGATTATTTCCGAAATACCTCGGGCTTGGGTCTATCGATACATTTTTTGGATTTCGCGTTGAGCCAGCGTCCATGCATCCATTTCGACGAATTGGACGTTTTTCAGTGGTATCATCAGTCGAATGTCTATCACACGTGTGATGATTAAGATTACAATTTGCATCATTTTCAACGCATTGACAAGGAATTATTGTAGAGTCGAGAGAGTCTGAGAATTCTGGACTTGGAATTGAAGATACGCTGCCCATTTGAGAAAAGACCACCGTCCCCTGAGCATTTTGGGGACGGTGTCAGAAACATCATTCCTCCAATTCATCCATTCGATTCCTAACAGCCATCTCTACCACTTCCAAACTTGGGTAATCAAGTTCTTTAACTAAGCAAAGTACAGCTGATAATATATTTGAATTCTAAAATTGAAAGACAAATAACATAATATCTGTATATCATTACATTAAATTTGAAAATGGGAAATCTTACCCTTGTAACAGGTCTTCTGTGATAATAGAATTGAGATCTACATTTTTCTTTATCAGAATGTCTCACCCATCCAGGCATTTGATTAGAATCTTCCTGTAATTTAAAATAATTCTTTTTTATATCTTATTTAATTCAATTATTTTTTTATGCAAAGATAATATTATATTGATATCATATTTTATACACTTTCATCAATCTTTTTAAAATAATTTGCAATTCCATTTCTCACCCTTTCAACGTTTTGGTGGACTGTTTTTCTAGGCTGAAGTGGTGCTTGATGTTCTTCATATTCCGTATTTATCCTCTGCTCGTGGTGTTCTTCGTACTCCGATTTGTGTGTATTATCGAATTCGTAACTATTTCTATCTGAACGTCTATCGTCCATAGGCTCAGTCGAAGAGTATTGTGTACGTAGAGACGTTGGCGCATACGTTCGTTGAGGAATTTCATTACTACTATATTCTGTACAAGTTCTTCTTTCGTCATATTCACCATTGTGTCTTGAAACTGCTGGTCGTTCATCATATTCCTAAAAATCATAAAACAATGAAATTTTTATATACTAATTTGAAACCAATAATTATATCTATTTTTATTAATCGTTATAAGACAAAGCAAGTAATATAAAATTAACTTTAACTTGTGATAAATTATGACTTTTCTTTCGCATTCTACTTAAATTCCAATGCCAAACAAATATTGATATGAAACATACACACAATAAATTCACCAGAAACAGGATACATTTAGTTACCAAAAACTGATAATTATATATCATGTTTCTGGTGAACTATCTTATATGTATACACATGCTATGTATATGTGTGTATGTAAGTGATTATCAATGTCGTTATGCAAAATCTACTTGCTAGAGAAGACTATTTTAGATTGTGGTGGTAGCTCTAGCTAATTGATTATATGTATATGGATGTAAGTAATGAATGCAAGAACTATCAAGTTAACGCTATAATGAACTATTATGCTGCAAAAATAATTTTGCGATTCTGTAAAATATACCTTAATTATTTCAACAGTGTTAGTGGTCACACTTTCACTGACGTTGCGTGACTCTGTACATACAGTGTCATCTTTGTTGTGATTCTTTGACTGTCCATTCTGTAGCTGTTAGTGTACGAATACAGATAAAAGGAGCAATGATATAATCAAGCTTATTCATTAGGTATTAAGTTAGTTAATTATTCTGTTTAGCAAATACTAAATGAGAAAGTTAGTATCATTCTAAATCTAATATAAATGCAGAAGCAAATAATTTAAAATCTAAGTACATTAATAATTTGATTTCTTATATTTTTAAATGAAAAGACAAGTTAATATAAAAGTTCCCATGCAGAATATATGTATATATGTAGGTATACACAATAATTAGTTTACTCACTTCATATGTGTATTGATTATTTTGTGGATAGCGATGAGATTGTGATGCATTATAGTTTGCATTTCTACGATCTGAATCATGATATTCTTCTTGAGTATGCTGTGTTTCCTCATAGCTTCTCTGTAAATAAACGTCTTGCTAAGAAGATATCTTTATGTATCACATACATATATGGATATTAATGAAAACATGTTTATGAGAATAAACAAA